CTTTGCTGGGATTCATGATGAGACAACTGTTTGGGCGGCCTTGTGTGTACACTGAGCAGAGCTGAACCTGAGGCTGAGGGAGGGAAGTAAACCAGCCGAAGCCTCAACTGCAGGATGGTGGATGTCGGGCCTGGAAGCCACAGGTCCTGCGACAACTCATCGCAAGTCAAATTAAGGGACTAATGCAAGCCTAGTAGATATTTAATGAGAGATTATTGCTGGAGATTATAAGGATACAGAAATTGCTAATAAATCCCTGACCTTTTCTGAGCCTTGGCTCAGTGAAAGAGCTGAATCACCTGCTTGAGGGGATTAAGGACAGCCGCCTCCATCTGGCGGGTCACTCAGACTTTTTCTGTCATTAGCAAACGCGGCTTGGTAGTGATAGTGTTCTAAACCTTTTAGTGGGAATTTGCTTTTCAGACTAGGAGATCTCAATTAACTTAGATTATATCCCTACTGGGCAGAGATCAGGACTAATGATCTGGTTATGTGTGCACTATAGTCCCTATCACATTATGGTACTTGGTCCTTGATAAATAATAAAACAGTTGTTAATTATTAGTAATCTAATCATGATGTCAGCAGGAAACTCAAGTTGATGAGAGGAGAAATCAAGCTCTGTGTGTGTGTTTGTGTGCATGCATGTACATGTGTGTTTGTGAAAGAGAAGAGACAGAGATGGGGGTCCCCAGGCAGTGGGCAGTGTGATAATTTACACTAGTTCCAGTTTAGAGGTTTAAAGCAGTGGTTGCTAACCTGTATTTCTTGAATTCCTTGTTGGGGAAGCTGTTGTTTGAAAGAGATTCCATTTCTTAACACAGTGTTATCTGTTTATAGACTATAAATAATTATCATCAGTATGCAATTTTAATACATTAGAGGCTAACAGAGTTATCTTGAGCTCATAATGTTTGACTTTGCAATATGTAAATATTGTATCCATTTGAACTTAGACAACTAAGATAAACTGAGAAACACTGGATTACACATATCATATGTAAGACCTTTATGTATAACATCTGTGTAAGAGTTATTCCAAGAAAAGGAGTTTGCTGGTTTAAAACAAATTGGAAAATCTCTAACATTGGGAAAACCAAAGGAGGAACATTTATTCAGAGGTTGAATGTGGGGTGTTCGCTTTGCCGTTTCTCAAAAGAAGTAATTGTAATAGTGGGTAAATTTGTGATTATTTTCTGGATGTATTTGGAAGGGTCCATTTTATTCTTTTCCATTAAATATTATTTACCGAGAAAAGGATCCACTTCCTACAGTGCCACAAAAAAAGGTTCAAGGACTGATTTTCCTCTAGAGGGTTATGTCCAGTAATTGGGCTGATAGCTTTACATGCTTGTACATTTTGACCACTGGGGTCATCACTGTCAGATGCTAGGTTATTTTCAATTTTTCAAAACTTTTATTGATGTTCAGAGGGTAAAGAAATAGCCTTTGTCTGGGGCAGGAGTTCGTCGATGCCTAGAATAAGACCATGTTCACAAGCCTACTCTTAAAACATCCAAGTTCAGAATCCATGTCTGCAGCTCCTCATAGCACTGTGTGAAATGACAATTCTTTCTCTCCCAGACTTCTTCGATTCTCATTCCTATGAAAAGATGATCTTAAGCGCCTCTCAAAAGAAGAACTAAAAGGCTTCACCAGACTAATAAATCGTAGTTATAAACATTTTGGAAAACTCCTTTAGCACAAAAAGTAATTCCCCATCTGACAAATGCTATCCGGTAGGCTCTATTGTGACTACTGTATAAAGGAATGAAAATCCTCCCTGCACATGAAAAGATTCCCAACATTATTAGTCATTAGGGAAATAAAAATCAAAACCACAATGAGATACCTCTTGACACCCACTAGGATGGCTATAATAAAAAAGACAATAACAAATGTTGGCAAGGATTAGGAGAAATTGGAACCCTCATACAATGCTGGTAGGAATGAAAACTGGTGCAGCTGCTTAGAAAACAGTTTGGCAGTTCCTCCGAAAGTTAAGCATAGAGTCATTCTGTGACCCAGCGATGCCACTCTTAGGTGTATCTCAAGAGAAGTGAAAATACCAATTCACACAAAGACTTGTACACAGATGTTCATAGTAACATTATTCACAACAGCAAAAAAGTGGAAATAGCCCAAATATCTATCGGCCGATGAATGGATAAATAAAACGTGATGTATCTGGACCATGGAATATTATTTAACCATAAAAAGAAATGAAGTACTGATGCTACAACATGGCTAAGACTTGAAAATATTATGTTAAATAGAAGGAGCTAGACATAAAAGACCACATAGTGTATGATTCCCATTTATGTGATGTATTCAGAATAGGCAAATCCATAGAAAAGGAATTCTCCCCACAGCTGGGAGAAGGGAAGAAATGGCTAATGTGTATGGGTGTTTGGGGTAGGGAAGAGGGCAAAAATGTTCTGGAGTTAGATAATAGTGATTAATATACAGCTTTGTAAATACTCTAGAAATTGCTGAATCATACACTTAAAATGGGTAAACTTATGGTATATGAATTATATACCAATAAAGCTGTTATTTTTTTTTAAATCCTTCCCTGGATTCCAGCAGGTATTTGGCTTCTGTATTATAGGTTGTTACTAAATTTGAAAAATGCCTGCTGCATGAGTTAATTGAGTTTTATTTGAAAGAATTATTTTGATTTGACTTTCAGCCTGTAATCAGAAATCTTGAGATGCCACAATGTGCAGAGCAAATACTTTATTTATACTGGGAAAAACAAGGGATTGAGTTAATAGGCTCCTTACCATTTTAAGGGAATAAAAAGAATGATTTGTATGGCAAGTAATCTGCAGGGAGAAAAACATTGTTTTTCTGTTTCTTTTCTGGTACTTTACTTACTATCCTGGAGGCTGAGTGTGTTTGTAATGAGCATCACTAAGCAATAACTGTACATGTAAGTATAGGAACTATTAATATTTCAGTTTGGGAAGAGTTGTTTTAGGAATTAGCATTCTTTTTTAGTTTGATTTTGGGAATTCTTAGGGATTAAAAACATGTTTTAAAATCTTCAGCACAACTGACAATTGCAGAAATGTGGAACCAGCCCAAATGCCTATCAGTCAACAAGTAGATAAAGAAACTGTGATATATATATATGATGGATTACTACTCAGCCATAAAAAGGAATAATTAATAGCATTTGCTGCTACCTGTATGAGATTGGAGACTCTTATTCGAAGTAAAGTAACTCAGGAATGGAAAATCAAACATTATATATTCTCACTCATAAGTGGGAGCTAAGCTATGAGGACGCAAAGGCATCAGAATGACACAATGGACTTTGGGGACATGGGGGAAAGGGTGGGAATGGGGTAAGGAACAAAGACTACAAATAGGGTGCTGTGTATACTGCTTGGGTGATAGGTGCATCAAAATCTCACAAGTCACCACTAAAGAACTTACCCGTGTAGGCTGGGCGTGGTGGCTCAATCCTGTAATCCTAGCACTATGGGAGGCCGAGGCCAGTGGATCACCTCAGGTCGGGAGTTGAAGACCAGCCTGGCCAACATGGTAAAACTCCATCTCTACTAAAAATACAAAACTTAGCTGGATGTGATGGTGGGTGCCTGTAATCCCAGCTACTAGAGAGGCTGAGGCAGGAGACTCGCTTGAACCCAGGAAGCGAAGGTTGCAGTGAGCCAAGATCATGCCACTGCACTCCAGCTTGGGCGACAGAGTAAGACCTTGTCTCAAAACAAAACAAAAAAAAACAAAAAAAAAACCCATGTAACCAAATACCACCTGTTCTCCAATAACCTATGGAAATAAAAAAACAAAAATAAAAAAGTAAAATACTCATCTAAGTTTACCCATATATGCTAAGAATTAAAGAAAGATTCAATTTGGATTAGATCCGAGATGAGTTCAGGTTCTGCTCACTTCTCATGTATTACAAGTTTATTACTTTCCCTGAGATGACCACAAATCGTCTATAAATACTTGCTTTTCTACTTTCTGGCATTTTCTTTTCCACTCTGACCATTAAGTGGTAGAATGTCTTGTCCCACTGTCCTAAGAAGGTCAAAGATGAACCCATTCTTAAAGATTATCACTGGGTCACCAAAACATGGGGGTGAATTTTAGGGAATTTCCAGCCTTGTTGTCATGTTAGAAGTTTCCAGCCTTGTCTGGTTCTCTTCTGTGGAAGAAGCTGCTGCTGTTGATCATTTATTTTCTGAGTGAGAACCCTGTTGCCACTTGCTCATTTCCCCCTGCAGGATGGCCCCACTGCCTTCGTGCTGCTTCCTTAGGTAGTGTCTTTGTTCTTGGCTGTTTTAATTTTCCTCTGAATCATTTTTCTTCTTTTTTTCTTTGTTCTATTTTTCCTTTCTTCTAGTCACCTGAGCAGAATTATACTAAACTCAGGGCCACATTTAAGGCAGTTTGATGGTATGGGCTCTAGAGCAGTTCTCCATGTATTGGCTCTGCATCTTTGGTCAAGATATTTAGTTTTACCAAGCCTCAGTTTCTTCATCTGTCATATGGGCTGATGATAATGTCAATGTGGAGGACTTACTGGGATCAAGTGAGATAATCTATTTTAAGCACTTACCCAACATTTATGGACCACTTAATTTGTGCTTTTTGAAGGAGACTGTAATTAGTTCTACAGCTTCTGTTAATAGCAAAACAATGTAAAGGTACCTATCACCCTATGCTGCAGTTTCTTCACCTGCAGCTATCACCTGATAGATAATTTTACAGGTTACTACAACTTGAGGTTACTATGAGAACTAAATGAGATAATACATGCAAAGCACTTAAAACCATACCTAGCATATGGAAAGCTCTCAATGCCAGCTACTATTATTATGATGTTATTCCTGTACTGTTACTGGGAAACATTAAAAGGATGTGTGACCACAGCATGCGATTGATTCATCCTGGATTGGTTAAGCCCTATCCTGAGGTTGATTTCCATGGCTAGCAACTTAACTGCCCTTCTCTTGTACTTTCAGCTGCGCAGTTGGACAGCATTGGCTTCAGCATAATCAGGAAATGCATCCATGCTGTGGAAACCAGAGGTAAAGTAGTTTAACAGATGGCATTGTTCTCATAGAAGGTCATGCATCTGGTGAGGAGTCAGACCTGCTACCTGCTGTTTCCTGACTTTAAGTGACTCATTAGCTCCCCAAGTGCCATTGTCAGTGGATTTCCACAAGTTATGTTGGTCTCAAGCAGGAGGTCCTAACTGATTTTGTGTCACCAACTTCTTTGGCTGATGAGAAGAATGTGTTAAATATCTGAAATACGTAGGATTATAGAAACCAGTTACTGGAATTCAGTTTTTAAAATATTAAAAAACACAGGGTATCATGATATATGTGTTTCTTTGTTAACAGTTTGTAAGCGATAGTGGTGGGTCTGATAACTGACATAATTTGGGAGCAGTGATATTTCAAGATATCCATAATAATTGTAATGTGTTATGGAAATGCCTGTGATTTCTGACCAAGTTGCAGGTACCGCTAATGCTCCTGTGATTTGTTGCTTCCATCCATAAAGAAAGGAAATGCTTAATGTCAGTTGTAGGTTAGTGAAGATAAAGATGTAATTGTTTTCCTGTCTAATTCACCCTGAATTTTCTCTGGCAGACATCTTGGGGTCTGTGAACCCAAGATGTCCTGGGGAGCTAGTCCCTGGGGACCACCCAGGTGGAGAGAAGGGGTCAGGCCCATGTTCACACTGATCTTTCCCAGGTCTGTGGGAGCAGGACATTAAGATCAAGGAAGCTGGTTCATCCTGATGGTCTCCATCCCTTCTTCAGAGACTGCCACAAAGGAGATTCTTCAGTTCCAGCAGTTTGGAGCTTTGAGTTTGCTGGTCTGTTGTACCACTGAGAAAAACTATTAACCATCTTTCCACTGGATTTGATTTGAACCGTTGTCAGAGATGTGAATCTCATTTACTCTATAGCCTCTTAGCCTACCAGCCCTTTTTAAGTAGTGGAAAGAAATTCTCTCTTTTAAAGCAGGACTCATAACTCTTACCAGTTGAGAAATACACAGTTTTTTTTCATAAGGACTGTGAGGCATTAAGTAAAGGGAAGAGATTTTAAAAACCTACCCTTAATGTATACTGTCAAAAGATATTTTTTCCAAAACAGTTGTAATGTGTGGAAACATTTTTTAAAATGTTCAGTTATTTCTCCTGTACCTCCCTTAAACAAAGACTTAAGGCAGCTTGTAAAGGTAAGATATATCCAGAGAATATAAAGTAGAAGTAGGTGACATTTCTGGGAATTGGTCTTGAGGAAATAAGGATATGGGCCAGATTGAACAATAAGGATGTTTACACAGTGGCGATGTTAAGGTACAAAATTGTGAACTGGCCAAATGTCTAAAAAATGGGTTAAATCAACAATGGTATGTCTGTGTAGTAAAAAACTCTGAATCACTAACAATGCAATGGAAATACATTTTTTGACATACGGCCTTTTTTTTTTTTTTTTAAGGCAGAGTCTCGTTCTGTTCCCAGGCTGGAGTGCAGTGACGCCATCTCAGCTCACTGCAACCTCCGACTCCCTGGTTCAAGGGATTCTCCTGCCTCAGCCTCCTGAGTAGCTGGGATTACAGGCACATGCCACCACGCCCAGCTAAGTTTTTATATTTTTAGTAGAGACGGGGTTTCACCATGTTGGCCAGGATGGTCTTGATCTCCTGACCTTGTGATCTGCCCACCTCGGTCTCCCAAAGTGCTGGGATTACAGACATACAGCATTTAAAAAATTATTTATAATACGTGAAAAATGCAAGTTACAAAGCAGCTACTCAGTATGAGCCTGTTCTGGGAGCAGTGGGGAGAGGAGCAGTCGTATTGTACAGGTTTCATTGTGTTCTCAGTGGCTCTCTGCTGATTTTTACTGTCTCACTGTGACTCATCTATTTACCTTACCTATAGTTTCTAAATTTTTTTGAAGTGTTCATTACTAAGGTAATTTTTCTTTTTTCTTTTTTCTTTTGAGACAAAGTCTTGCTCTGTTGCTTAGGCTGGAGTGCAGTGGCTCAATCTCCACTCACTGCAACCTTGGCCTCCCAGATTCAAGTCATTCTCCTACCTCAGCCTCCTGAGTAACTGGGATTAAAGGTGCCCGCCACCATGCCCAGCTGGTTTTACCATGTTGGCCAGGCTGGTCTTCAACTCCTGACCTCAAGTGAGCTGCCTGCTTTGGCCTCCCAAAGTGCTGACGTTACAGGCATGGGCCACTGTGCACAGCCTAATTTTCAACAGAGGTTTTAATTTTTTTTTTAAATTTTAAAAAGACTGAGAATAAAATGTACAGGGTTTAAAGGTAGAGGCGCAAAAATGGAGCCAAAAGCGAATCTAAAAAAAAAACTCTTTCCCCAGTAAAGTTCATATACTTGGCCACCTGTTCATCTCTCATGTTTTAGCAGCCAAAATCAAGAAAGAAACCTAATCATTTAAAACTGTTCACAGAGTCTGCAGTAAATGCAAACTGGTAGCTCAGGAGGACAAATTTTTCTGATGTAAAACTACAAAATAAATACAATAAGTAGGAGAAGAGGTGTACAAGTTCCTCTTTCCCCTCTAAAATGAAAAAGGAAATGATGTATTTTAACTTCTAAGAAAGTCTTCATTGAGCACAAAGAAGATACAAGGACAGTATGAGTTAGGTGCCATTTTAGCATAAATAGTTGAAAAAAATGGGTATCTCCCTATTGCGGTGTGTGTATGTGAGTACGTATTTATGGTGACCAGAGATGAACAGACTTTCCATACTCTCTGGGATTTGACAATTGTCCAGTGGGAGGTGGGATTGTGTAAAGTTCCAGAAAAGCACAAGGATAGAAGTAGAGACACTTAACTTAAGACTTTTCAAGCTCCCGAGCTGACATGTTACCGAATCAAGTTTCTGCCACTGAGTAACTTGGGACCCATCACTTAGGTTTTGACCAGGGCCTCCTAGTCCATGAATCATCCAGAATGATGTACACGAGTTTACAGGTCCTCTTTAGCTGTAAAATCCTATCATTCCAGACCACTTCTTTTTTATTCGGTAGTTCCATGTCTACATAGGTATTGTTGAAAGTACTGCAGAATTGATCCTTTCCTGAATTTCTTCTGAAAGATTATGTTTTGGCCTCTAAGTATTTTATACTGATCTTGATGGAGTATAAACTCAGTGTTTTGTTTATTATTGTGTACCATAGACTGATCCAGGGGCTGAGGATATAATGGTGAACAGGACACAATTACTGTTTACATTCTATTGAGAATGTAACAGAAAAAAAACAAGTAAAGAATCAAATAAAAAAGATAATTTCAGATATTGTTAACGGCTATAAAGAAAGAAATCAGGGTAAGGGAATGACCAGTGGTATTGATTGTGGGTTGCATTAGATTGAAGCAGTTGCATTGAAGCTGAGATCTGAATGATGAAAAGCTCTGGGAGAAGAGCAGTCCTGGTAGAGGAAACAGCTGTAGCAAAGGCTATGAGGTGGGGCCATGAGCTTGGCACACTGAGGTGACAGGAAGGCCACTGTGTGGAGCAGAATGCATGTGGTCGTTGATGCAACCAGAGGTAGTCAGTGCTCAATAGTATAGGCCTTATAGGCCATCCCAAGTAGTTTTGGTTATGGTCTAAATGCAATGGGAAGCTACTGGAGGGTTTTAAGAGGTGATATGAACTAATTTGTACTTTAGACAGTTCACTTTGGCTACTGGTTGAAGAATGGACATCAGAGGAATGAAATAGGAAGCTGGAGCTCTGCTACTTGAGAGGGGTCAGGTATGATGGGCCTGGGACTAACAGAAGAAAAATTGTTTCAAGTCACCTGGTCTAAATTGCCTTCTTTTGTAGGTGGTACAGTGGTGATCTAATCCATGTATTTAAATGAACAGAAACACTGCAGTGGATTGGTTTTTGATTCTTTGTTTAGATGTTTAATTTAAAAGTAAACCCTTACTAGTCTAATTGTACAGTTGAATGAAATAAAGGTGGTCTTTTTTTGATAAAGAATATTTATATTATAAATGACTGGATCTTCTAATTTCTCAGTCTTGGCTAACATTCCTTAAAATTAAAAACGGTCTTACACTTCAATATTTTTATTTTATATGTAAAAATAGGTTATAAAGTGTCTTTTTCTGTTGTATGGATTTTTAATCATGTCATTTTTGGCATTTTAATTTTAAAAACTGGTTAAATATGACATATTTAAAAGTGTACATTTTGCGTCTTTTAGAACTCTTCAGATGCTGCCTTTGGCAAGAGAAAAGGAAAGTTGCTTTCGCCTCTGATGACTGAACTAACATGAGGGCTGAAGTGTGCAGCACATCCGTGAAATCCTAGACAGCTGAACCAAATCCCACTCCTTTGCTAAGAGCTGAGCTGAGTGACAGGGGACTTTAATTAGAGCAGCTTTTAGGAGGACTGAGAAAATGAAAAAAAAAAAAAGTACACTTGGCTGGATTGGCCTGATTTGTGTTCTGACGTGTCTCTAATTAAATCATCACTGTTTCTTTCCTCAGGGATCAACGAGCAAGGGCTGTATCGAATTGTGGGGGTCAACTCCAGAGTGCAGAAGTTGCTGAGTGTCCTGATGGGTGAGTGTGGCAGTGGCTCTGCTAGGCTGGTCCCTGGGTGGGGGGCCCACTCTGAGAAGTCACCAGGTCTGTGAGTAGATACAGTCTGTGGCAAAGGAATCAGGGTATCCATGAGCTGTCACCCAGAAGTCAGCTGCCTCATCAGTCAGTTGTCATGGCTTCAGGCGCTGCTGGGAAAGGTTCTGAGTAGGACTGGACAAAATAAAAAATGCCAGGGCCCAGACACCACACCCTCTCTGTCTGTAGGTTCAGCGCTTCTGGTCTAAGTGGTACTTGTCACTCATGTGACCGCCACACCCTACTCTGTCTTTAATAGCTCATGACTCCCTCCATTCTCTTTTGGGGCAGGTATTTAGTGGGACACACCCACTGCCCAAGGAAAGGCATCATTCTGGGCTCCAGAGGACCTCAGAGTTCATGTTCCTGATACTGAGCAGGTGTCATGTAACTCTCAGATAAAATGTATATAAGCAGATAAATCTTCTGATCCTCTTTGCTTCTAGATTTCAACTGAATACTTGTCACTTGAGCAGCAGTACCCCGTTTGCCACTGGCTGATACAAATATAAAACCACTGACTCCAAATGTGCGGTATTTGAATCAAAAGCCCATGAGTCCATGAGCCAAATTTGCTTAGGCTGCAGATTTCCTATATTTTTAGATATGAGTGCAGCCAGCCTCCATGAGTCACATGGATCTAAATGGCAAACAGATCAGATTTCACAGAGGCTGTTATTCCTCCCCATGGAAGCCGTAGCTTGTAGAGATGGACTATCACTTGGGGTACCCAGCTCAGTGTTTTGGACAGGGACAGTTCTTGTGTTAGCATTTGTAATTTATTTTGCCATCCCACTTTCTGAAAATAGCTTTCTTATGTAAAGAAATCTCTTCTGTCATGTTGGCCAGAATGACTGTCTTCACCTCTTTTAGAGAGAGTCATTCACTTCTTGTAACCAAAACCCTATTGTATTGCTAATTAGTGTGAGATCTGTTGTTTGAAACTATGATTATTTGTGAGGTGCTCTGGCAACGAGTATCTGGTTTTTTTTTTTTTTTTTGTTTAAGATTTGATATATGGTTAGTTTTTATAAAAATTAAACTTTTAATTTTGAGATAATTGTAGATTTACATGCGGCTGTAAGAAATAATATAGAGATCCTGTGTACCACTTACCCAGTCTTCTCTAAAGGTGTAACATCTTGCAAAACACAATTTTAATATCACAACCAAAATATGGGCATTCATTTAGTCAAGATGCAGAACATTTCCATCACTAAAAGGATTCCTTGTGATGTTGTATAAGCTCGTACCTCACTTCCCACCTTGCACCCTGTGTCTGACCCCTGGCAATCAGTAATCTGTTCCCTATTTCTATAATTTTGTCATTTCAAGATTATTATTTAAATGGAATTATACAATAGAGAACGTTTTGGGATTGGCATTGTTTTTCAATCAGTGTAATTTTCTCAAGGTTTATTTTTGCTGTTCCATGTATTAATAGTTCTTTTTTATTGCTGAGTAATATTCCATTGTATGGATATACTGCACTTTGTTGAACCATTCATTTATTGAAGGGCATCTGAGTTGTTTGCAGTGTGGGGCAATTATGATAAAGCTTCTGTAAATTTTCATATATAGTTCCTGTGTGAGCGTATATTTGTTCCTCTGGGATAAATGTCCGAGTGTGCAGTTGCTGGGTTGTATGGTGATAGGCTTAATTTTTGAGAAATACTAATATAAAGAAGAATTAAGAGTCTAGTATCTGTCAATCCTTAGTTTTTCATTTCTGACCAGAGCTGCAAACATTTGTGGGGTGTCTGCTGTTTAGAACAGATGTCAGGTACTAGAGATTAAACTTTAGAAAGAGCTGTTCCTTTTCTGTAAGGAGTCCTGATAGGGTGAAATATGTGTGTGTATGACAGCTGTCATGTAAAGTATGATATTCGTGCTTAATATGTGCCGGGTCTAGAAGATTGAGTAGTGTAGTGAAGGAGAGAGTAGAAGAATAATTCCAATTCAGGAAGTGTTCTGAACAAAGGGTCTACGGTGGCTACAGCAAAGGGTATTGATTCTATGATTATTATTTTAATATTTCTGAAAGACAGGCCAGGTGCGATGGCTCACGCCTGTAATCCCAGCACTTTGGGAGGCCAAGGCGGGCAGATCACGGGGTCAGGAGATCGAGACCATCCTGACTAACACGGTGAAACCCCATCTCTACTAAAAATACAAAAAATTAGCCGGGAGTGGTGGCGGGCACCTGTAGTCCCTGCTGCTCTGGAGGCTGAGGCAGGAGAATGGCGTGAACCCGGGAGGCGGAGCTGGCAGTGAACCAAGATCACGCCACTGCACTCCAGCCTGGGTGACAGAGTGAGGCTCCATCTAAAAAAAAAAAAAAAAATTTTTTTGAAAGACTTTCTTGAGGTTGGGACAGGAGAGTTTTAAAGTTGAATAGCTAAGGTGATCTCCTTTGTTGAGGAACTTGAATATTGAGCCAAGGTGTTTGGGGTTTTTTCTATAGGAAGTAAGAAACTATTAAAAGTTCTAAATGGTGGGATTATATCCATTATGATGCTTTTGCACACAAAAGTGTCAAGAAGACAATTCAGAATAGTTTACAAGGAAAAAAAAGCATTTATTTGCTCACATAACTGGTGAATCCAAGACAGAAACATGGCAGAGTCAGGGATGCCAGTGATGTCTTTACTTTTGCTAGATCCTTTGCCCCTTCCTTCTTCTGGCTTCTCATGTTCTCTGACCTCTTTTGGGCTTGGTGTGGCTTTGTTCTCTGAGGGAGTGTACCAGACAGGTTCAGCCTCTGCAGTCCTTGGAGCCAGTGGTCACTAAGAAGAGAGTGCCTTTCTTGGCCGTGTTGGCAGAAGGCTCCAGTGAGGACTTTGCTTGTCCAGTATGGGGCCATTCACATGATTTGTTTCTCAATCTCAGACCAGTCACATGGTCCACAGCAGATGGCCTGGATCCTCTGCCTGTGTTGGGGGATATGGGAGATGGGGTGGAGGGTTGAGGTGGGGACGAGGTTAGTCCCTGAAACCCAGTGGACTGAACAGGATTATTGATAAGATGATGGAGGAGTGCTTTCCTGAAATAATGGCTGCGGGTAGCTTTTTTAAAAAAAGTCTATCTAATGCAGATGTAACAATATCAGATTCTAGCATTAGGAGCATAATCTTGGCTACAATGTGGAGCATGTATTTGATTATGGAAAGACATGGAGGCGGAAGATGGTTGTAATAGATTAGGTAAGGCAAACCCTATCAAAGATTGAACCAGGTGCTCTGAAGTCAGGAAAAAAGGACAGACTCAAAATGAGTATAGAGAGAGAATCAACAGGACTTTTAACCAACTTGATATGGGAGAACAGAAGGGGCAGAGAGATTTCAAAGATGACAGATTATTATGTAAGATGACACTAATGAAAAGAAATATGACATTTTAGACTGCTTTGCTAATCTAAAAAAGAACCACTTTAGCTCAGTTGTGTTAAGCAAAAGAGTGGTTATGAAAGGATCTTGTTTTTATCACTTTTCTTAGTGGCCTTCACACAAGATATTTGTCTTGTTCTCTTCCTTGGTTTTCCTGGGGATAGAGAAAATAATCATGAACATTTGAGAAATGTCATGAAAAAGTAATAACTAGCAGCTGAAAGTCACGAGGGCAGCTGCCTCTGCCAGGAGGACATTACAGATAGACTGGAATCTAATCTGAGATCCAACCAGAGCTGCGAGATGACCACAGTGCAACATCTAATTGAAAGTTGAGAATGGTATACATGATTCTCCCTAGCAGTTAAGTAAGTTTGAATAAAAAAAAAAAAAAAAAAAAAGAAGTTTGAATCTCTCAGTTACAGAATCACCAGGGCTCCAGACCTGAAGGAGGAGCTTCATCTTCTCTTTTGTGAACACGCCCTCAACTTCATCAATTCTTGGTACTGGTAGTGTCTGGCTAGCCAAGAGTATAAAATAAACATGGCACCCGTGCTCCAAAACCTTCCCCTGAGATGGCTGGGCCGAGTGAACCTTTCATTAACTATTTCTTTATTATAAATTCATTGAATGCTTATTATGTGCCAGGTACTGTGTAAGATTTGGTTTATCTGTCCAAGGCTCTCAAAAGTGGAGTAGTATGTTTTGGTTATTGAAAATATGGCTGGTCAGGCATGGTGGCTCACGCCTATAATCCCAGTACTTTGGGAGCTGAGGCAGGTGGATTACCTGAGGTCAGGAGGTCGAGAGCAGCCTGGCTAACATGGTGAAACCCCCTCTCTACTAAAAATACAAAAATTAGGCTGGGCGTGGTAGCTCACACCTGTAATCCCAGCACTTTGGGAGGTCAAGGCAAGCGGATCACCTGAAGTCAGGAGTTCTAGACCAGCCTCACGAACATGGTGAAACCCTTTCTCTACCAAAAATACAAAAAAAAAGTCAGGTGTGGTGGCACATGCCTGTAATCCCAGCTACTCGGGAGGCTGAGGCAGGAGAACATCTTGAATCCGGGAGGCAGAGGTTGCAGTGAGCCAGGACTGCTCCATTGCACTCCAGCCTGGGCAACAAGAATGAAACTCCATCCCAAAAAATAAAAAATAAAAAAAATTAGCCAGGTATGGTGATGTGCACCTGTAGCACCGCTACTCAGGAGGCTAAGACAGGAGAATCCCTTGAACCCAGGAGGCAGAGGTTGCAGTGAGCCAAGATTGCACCAATGAACTGCCAGCCTGGATGACAGAGCAAGACTCCATCTCAAAAAAAAAAAAAAAAAAAAAAAAAGGGCTGAGAATTAAGTAAAACCAGAGACTTTTTTGGATTACTTGGAGTTTATTTTTTGCACTCTTAATACATTGGAGGACTTTGGGTTGGAAGAGGACTATAAGAGCCAGCACTTTGAGAATGTCTTCTTTGTACTGATCAGGATTCCTTAAGAAAGCTTGCTAAAATTCCTCATAGCAAGTGCAGTGTGGCTTTGTACTAGTGTCCTACCAAGAG